GCCCACGGTCCCGCAATGATCACTACTCGCTCTCACGTGGCATTGCGCGGTGTTTTGCGCCCGGTGTCACTGCAAGAACAGGGGTTTTCCTTGGACACTCCTTACCACTCCTTACGGCGGCGGCCCAGTGGCTCGCGCCGCCTCCTTAGAGGCACATGGATGTTTGCAAAGTGTTTGCGAGTTGCCTGGGTGTCTGGGTGGCTTCAGCACGATACAATATTATTCTTCTAAATAGTAAGAGCATTTTACGCCGACGCTGGACGTGAAGCCGCGTTCTTTGCCGCATGCACTATGATAAGTACTGAACAGTGTATAATTCTCTTTCACCCGTTCGAGTACACGAGAGGTCGTCGCGGGTAATGCTTTGTAAGACGTTTTGCGTCTGTCTGCATCTACCACCAACCGTGCAGACCGCAGCGTGCCCACCGTGCTGCACCCCTGCCCCTGCCCACGCACGTGCTGTCGTTGTGCATCCCCTGGCGTGCGTTCGTGTTCTGTGCGCACATGTGGCTGGCCAGACATGCTCCTATTTCATTGATAATAGCTGCAATTCAGCCAGGATCTGGAACTTGAGTGCCGGGCAAGGCGTTACACCACAGGTGGCCGCACACATGGCGCAAGTCACGAATCTACTGGTGTGCAGGTTGCTACTTCTGCGAAGGCGACCGCACAGATGGCGCAGGTCCTAGAGAGCCACGGTGTTCGAGAGGTTCGCATATGGGATAAACCATGCAGGGATGCAGCTGGCAGCGGCCGGCTGATGCGCCGCGCGGTCATACATGCGTGAGCACGCAATGACCTTCTCAGACAGCTCGTTCAAAGGAATGCACACATCAGCCTTGAATGGCGCCGACAGATCAGAGACATAGTACCCTGTCCCCCGCCACGTGGCGCGTGCGCGCGCGCGGTACAAGTCGCAAAAGGCAACGCGAAGTGCCTGTGGTGGCTCCTGCGCAGCCGCAGTTGCAGCGGCCCTCGCAGCTTGTGCAGCTGCTTCAAATGCAGAGTTTGCCTGCGCATGCCGGCGGCCGCGGCCGCGGCCGCGCCCACCCGAAGAGGGGCCAGGAGGGTGTGCATCCGCGGCCTGTTGGGCTGCGTGAGCGGCATCTGCTGCCGCCTGGCGCGCGGCTGCAGTGAACTTGGCGAAAAAGTGGATCCTGGCTATATAGGCAACAGCCTCGCCGTCCTCGATGTACCGCGCCACAGCAAAATATGATACCCGCTGAGTCGCGCGCGTGTACGCCGCAGACTTGAATGTGAAACCCCCGCCGCCCTGGTCCGCATGCTGGTATTTGAGGACTGCCGCCATGTTAAGCCAGACAGGGTGCCAGCCAGGCAGAGCTGGCCAGACCACATCAGTCAGTCGTAAGCGAATGCTGCGCTCCACCCGCTCAGACTCCGCAGCAGACAGCTTCTTGCCACTGCCGAGCAGCAGCTGGGTGTCCCGCTCATCATCCACCCCGCCCTCCGCCTGGCCGCCGGTGCCATGGCCGCCGCCGCCCTGGCCGCCGCCGCCGCCCTCGCCGCCGCCGCCCTGGCCGCCGCCCTGGCCACGACCGCCCTGCTGGCCGCGGCCGGCGCCGCCCCCCTGCTCGGCGGCCACCGCACCTGCAAGGCCGTCGCCCGCGGCGCTATCTGCGGCACCACCCGCGCCGCCGCCACCCTCGACGCTGCCTGCTGCGCCGCCCTCAACGGTGTCCACGTTGCGGCCGCGCATGCCAGCGGCGCGGTACTGCGGGATGAGCTCGTCAAATGTTTTCGTAAACTGGGGATATTGCATGCTGAGCTTTGCCAGGGCTGCGTCCACGACCAATGTCTTCAGAATCACCAGCTCAGGAGTGGTCGTGCTGCGGTACTTGGTGGCGCTCTTCATGTACTGGATGTACAGTTCTCCCCAGAATTCGCTCCAGCTACTGGAATGGCCGCGAAGCTGCGCCTGCCTCACAAGGCGGCAGACCAACTGGTGCAGGTTGTACTTGCAAAGCAGCCTGCAGGCAACGCGAAAGGTGGTCGGGGGTGAGAGAGGGGCGAAATACTTGCTCGTGCGTGCTGCTGCGCACCAGGGCTCAACATCCAACAAAAGAGCATGCAACACACGCGCCAAAGCATTCAGCCAGCGTACTTGGCATGCGCACCATCAGCCCATGCTAGAATGTGTGCGTTGGGGCGATTGCGCAGGTCCCCGCAGGTCCCCACAACCTGGAAAAAAAACCTGCACCGCACCCCGCCCGCCTGCCAGCCTGCCAGCCCTGCAAACGCACCTGCCAAAGTACTCCTCTGCGATCTTGCCGTACTCCATCAGCTCGGACTGGGCATACTTAGCAGCCGCGACAGCCGTTGGGTGTGTGTCACCCAGAGGCCGCAGGATTGTCAGCACCGCGTTCCGCAGGTGTCCCCACATGGTGCGCAGGCGCTGGTCAGGCAGCACGTCGCCGATGGTTGCATGAGGTGCGAAAATGTAGATGGAGAATGTCTCTATAAAGTGCAGGTAGTTCTCCATCACCCAGCTGCCACGAGCGTTGACCACGCAGGTGTAGGGGCGGCCAAAGTCGTCGGTCGCACGAACGTGGGCGGCGCGTGATGCGATGATGGCGCGTGCATAGCTGGGAATCCGCCACCAGGGCGTGGCCTGGCCTCGCTGGCCGCTGGAAAAGATTGTGTTGAGGAAGTTCTTGACCAAGCCCAGCAGGCACGCGTGGGCAATGGGCAGCAGGAAGACGTCGTAGGTGACGTAAGGCAGCGCCGTGACGATGCAGCTGGGGCCATGGCAACCAACGCTCTGTGCGTCAGCAGCGCCGGCAGCCACGCTGGCGGCGCGCGCAACGTGCTGCGCCTCAGTGACGAAGGTCTCACCCGCCAGCGCCACAGGCACCTGACGCGGCGGCCCAGGCGGGTCGCTGGGCTTTGGTGGGGGGGTGTACACGCCAGCAGGGACGGCCTCTTTGTAGCCGGGCCAGTAGTTCACGCCGTCTTCAGATCGCACGGATAACAACCAGCACCAGCCGCACCCCCGATACGCGTTGTGCGCCAGCCACATGGACACTTTGCGTCCAGCAGGGGTGTCAGCGGCAACGCCCGCCAGCAGCATGCGGTGTATGAAGGCGGGCTGCGACTCAGTTGCCGCAATGGCCAGGCCGGGACCTACAGTGGGGTGGGGTGGGACGGGTGTCGAAAGAAGTGGGGCAGGAAACCCAGGAGGGGGCGGTGGTCGAAAGAAGTGGGGCAGGAAACCCAGGAGGGGGCGGTGGTATGCAGCAAATGTGGGTGACAAATTGTGGGCAGCAGCAGCACAGCCTGACGGCGCAGCGGGCCAGTCGCCCGGGTGAGTTCTCTGCAAACCGCAATGTGCAAGGCACGGGAAGCTTTCTGTACCACCAATTTGCCGCCCGTGCATCCCACCTGTGGGTCCAAACTTCTTGAACTCGTCCAGCAGTAGCTCTAGGTAGGGGCCCATGCTTTTGGGCTCCTTGGGGCCGGGGATGATGACCAGCGGCTGGATGAGGGAGCGCTTGCTGCGGTGCTGGACACCGATGTCAAGGCACCTGCATTAAGGGATTGGGGCAAGCAGCAAGGGTTTGGCTGCAGCAATGACAGTTGAGATGACCTAGGTCTGCAGATCTTGTGGCGTTACTGCTGATGCTACCCCGCGCCACGTACGCAATCAAATTCAAGCAGACAGCGGTGATTGTGTTTGGGGTTTGTCAACAACCAGCCAAAGGGTTCAGCAACCAAACATAAGTTGGTTGACCATCGTTGACCAACTGCCTGTCACCACACACCTGACCGCGACCACGCCCATGGAGTGCTGCTTGAAGGCGAAAGGCTGGGCAAAGTCCAGGAAGATCTCGTAGCACGAGTTGTCTTGGTTCATGACTGCACCCCCGGTGGCGGTGTCCATCTCTGCAGCCAGCTCTGAGGTGTAGAAGCTGTCAGGGGCCCCGCGGCCCTGGCCGCGCAGTTCACAGAAGGCAGAGTTGGCCATCAGCTGGAGCCCGGCGTGCCGCAGGCCAAGGTGCCAAAAGCGCTTGCGAGGCACATAGCGCTCGCCGCTGGCCGAGGGCTGGGTGTCAAAGCGCCGCTCCCCACACTTGGTGCAGCGCGCGTCACAGTGCTGCTTGTAATCGCTGCGGGCCAGCGGTGGGAAGCGCTCACAGTCGTTCACGCACACGTGCTGCTCAAAGTCGTCGGTGCTGGAGCAATTGATGCTTTGCGTTTGAGGGGAGCACGGCGATTTGATTATGAAGGAGCGCACATTTGTGGACGGCAGGGACGCTGCGACGGGCCGCTTTTGCCCACACCCTGCAGGCACTGGCCTGTGCCTAGGGGCAGCCCAGCGCAAAAATTGAAATATTATCACACACTCTCACCTTGAGCAGCAGGAACAACGATGGGGGCAAAATGTTGCCCTTAGGCAGCACTTTTTCATGGTGCATGCGGCACAGCTCGTCGACGCACTGGTCGCGCATGGTGTGCGCCTCGCGCAGGCGCAGGAGCCACGTGATGTACTGCAGCAGCGTAATCTCGGCGCCAGGATACAAGGCCTGGGCCAGGCGCGCGCGGTAGAACGCTGCACTGCCGGGCTGGTCATTGCCTGGGGCCTCCCTGCCGTCACCCTCCCAATCAGGCTCGGCGTCGCCCAGCTGCAGCACTGCCGCAGCATCCTACCATAACTGCGCCATGACCGCGGTGACCATGGCAGGCCCCAGCTCTTTTTCTGCATGGTCCATGGCATCCGAGATGCCGAGGGCCGCGATAAGCTCCATGAACTGATCAACAGCAGCTGCGGTTTCGGCCTCTGTAGGCCCGCCACCATCGGCCGGCAGTGCGCCGGCGACAGCTGGCGGCTCCTCGAACTGCTGCGCGTTCAGAAGGCTGAGCGGATCATCGTCGACCTCCGGAGGCGCACCATCAAGTGTCAAGACGTCATCGTGGTCATAGGCACCGCCGGCTGCGCCATCTTCCTCGACTGTCGCGCTGCTCAAGCGGCCCGCCTGCGCCTGGTCACCCAAATTCCCAGGCGCTGCAGCCCCGCCGCTGCCACCTGCCCCTGCCGCGATTCCCAGCATGTGCTGATGCCCTTCCTGAACAGCTTGCCACTGGACGCGCATCGCGGGGCCGCTGGCAGAACTGTCGAGTGTGACAAAGGACGGGCCAGGCCGGCCCGGCGAAGGAGGCGTGGCCATTTTCACTGCAGTGTGCAAAGAACTCTTGCGATGAGTTTATGGGTGCGTTGCGAAATCTGGGCGGCGCAAATAGGCAGGTTGTGAGGCCTTGAGACGTGCTTGAGTGGCAGGGGCGCGACCCCGCACCTGCCAACTGTGCGCCGAGTCTGCCGCGTCCCGATCCATCGGCTAGCAGATTATCTCCTTCAGCTTCATTATCCGGGGCAACGTATGATGCCGGTTATCGCCCTGCGGGCAGCCAGTTTTGATCCTGCTGATCAACAATGGGCCTCATGCAAGAGCTCAACGCCCTGCAGGCCAACCCGGACATTGCACATAGATATGTAGACGTCGTAGGAGTGGCGCCCGACGGCCACCGCGAGCAGCTGAGAGTCCTGGCGCTGAGCAGCGACACCGACCTCAGCAGCTGGCTCGATGGGCACCTCATCTTCATCGACCCAGAGCGTAAGACGCAAATAGCGGTTGCTATGCTCTGGCGCACGTGCGCTGCCTTCATCATGCGCAACCAGGATCTTTTTCAAAGCTTTGGCATGGAGGCCGAGCTGGTCCGGGGTCCGCGGGGCCCAGTCATGAACGTTACAGTGTATGTGGCACCGCGGATCACGGAGCTTGCCTTGCCAGCCGCCGTCGTGGCGCCCGCTGACCAGCAGATCAGCGCCAGCGTTCTGGTGGGGCAGCAGGTGCGACCCAGAGGGCGCCCGCAATATAAAAATACGAATAGCGATCCCCACTGTGTCCTGAGTGCAGTCAATGCGCAGAGGGCCCGATCCCCCGCTCCTTTAGATGCGTGCACCTCGCTACTTACACAAACACACACACACACACACGCACGCTCGCACGCACGCACCTCGCACGCACCTGCAAACACACATACAATTCATCACTTGCATCTCAACCAACAGCAGGCTGCTGCAGCGGACTCAGGGAGGAAGAAGGCTACAAGGACACACCACGCCTGGGTGAAAGTCGCCGACCAGGCTATTGCCGCCAACTGCGTCCGTGACAAAGAGGGCTTCTTTTTCCAGATCGACAAGTCCGAGGAGGCACTCAGCAAGGAACAGATGGAGTTTGTAAAATGCGGCGTTGATGCAGCTGTGCACACAGTGCTGGTGGACCCGTCGGTACTGGAGGACCGCCGCAGCAATATGCCCAGCATCGTGCGCAACAAGGTCACGCGGTGAGCGATGCAGATGCACAGCAGGTGTGGGACAAGCATGCATCAAGGCTGTGGCAGGTGGCATGCTGTGTGCTTGGATGTTGCGCTTGGTGTGCTCAGATCGACTGAACCCAGTATTAAAACAGATCACCACTCAACTGCAACGCCAGCATGATGAGCGAGATGAACGGCGACCGACTGGGCTTCAAGCAAGAGAAGATCAGGCGGCAGCAGTGGGTCGAGGGCGATGTTGTGGACGGGCAGCACCAGCCCACCGCGCTGCGCAGTGCGTGGGAGGCGGGCATCAAGCCCGCGGCCTGGCTGCAGCTGGCCAGAATCCCCCTGGCAGCTCACGCACAGCATGCGGTCAAAACGGCGCTGGCAGCGCTGGGGACCTCAGCCCCCTCTAACACAGCGCAGCAGGGCAACGCCAACCCCATGCTCCCGCCGACAGCCCACGCGCCGCGGACCCCTGCTGGGGTTCACACAACCGCGGTGGTCCTGAGGTGGGTGCCCGGAGGAATTCTGCACGTCGCCGGCCCAACCCGCCTGCAGGCAAGCCTCGGCAGCACCACAACGCTCTGCCAAGGCTTGCCTAGTTGTGGGAGATTGCTGCCTCTTATAAGTATTTGCACAGGCATTGGTTTTCAAGCTGTCTTGGCTACTGCGCTCACGGTGTTGATACTGCCCTATAATATATAATATTGCTGCCCTCATCCTCCCAACTATTCCTTCCCACAGCCCCAACCCGCAAGCCAACTGCGCTGGGCGGGGCAGCAGCGGCAGCGGCAACGGCAGTTGCGCCAGCGGCACGCCCTCCGTGGGCGGCAGGTGCGCTGCTAGGGTTGAGAACCTGGCTGTGTGCCTGGATGCGCACAGCGCAATGCACGGCCCGCTTGTCCAGCCGAGCATAATGATTTTAGAAACTCCATCGCCAACACAAGCTCCTTCCCTTGCATATGCCGCGGCGCCCATCCTCCCCCTCCTCCCACAGCCCCGACGAGGCAGCCAACGGCGCCGGGCAGGGCGGCAGCAGCAGCAGCGGCAGCGGCCACGGCAGTGGCGCCCGCGGCACACCCTCCCTCCTGAGCGGCAGGTGTGCTGCCAAGGTTGAGAACCAGGCTGTGTGACTGGATTCGCGCCCAACAATGCATGGCCTGCTTGTTCAGTTATGCAGTAAACACCATACTCAACTCAAGCTCCACCCTTATGTACGCGGCGGCGCCCTCTCCCCTGGTCACCGCCCCCGCCCCCTGCATCCATAGCCTTGGCGTGGGAGCCAACGGCGCCGGGCAGGGCAACAGCAGTGATGGCAATGCCGGGAACGCGGGGCGTGGCGGCGGCGCTGGAGACCCCACCGCGCTCCTAAGCGGCAGGTGCACTTGCACGTTTGCGCATTTCTGTTGGGGTGTGCGGGTATGTGGCAGCGCACAGGTGCTGTTTGAGCAGTGAGCTGCGTGCACGTGCAGTTTCCAAAACCATGCGTGCACAATCACGCATGCACGTGCACTCGTGCGCGTGCTCACGCGCGCGCATGCCCCTGCACTCTCCACGAACCAACAGGTCCTTCCTGCTGCCTGGCATGGTGGACACCAGTGGCAACGTGGTCATCCCACCAGGCGGCCGGTGCGTGTGAAGGGGGCGCGCACACTGTTGAAAAACTCGAGTGGTATTGACCGGGTAGTTGGTCATGTCTGAATTACACCGGGCTGGCTGGCCCCTGCCTGACCCCCGCGCCCGCTGCATACTAGCGTCCATTGTGCATGTCAGAATGGGGGTCGAGTGCATAAGTGCTGCCGGTGCGTCACTAAGTTCCATCCCACCCACTATGCTGCACCCCTGCATTCATGACAGGCTGCAAACCAACACGCCTGTCAGCGCGGAGGCCGCCCTGCCTGCTGCACCCGCGCCCGAGGACACAGCCACCGACGCCTTTGGCTGTGAAGATCCACTTGCCCACAGGCGCGGCAGGGGCAGCAGGGGCGGCAGGAGTGGCGGCGCATCAGCTCGAGGCAGGCGCAAGCGTGGCGCCACAAGTGCCGGGGGCAGCAGCAGCCGCGGCGGCAGGAGCAAGCGCGGCCGTGGCCAACGGGGCAGGGGCCGAGGCCTGAGGGATGCGCCCGACTCAGATACCGAGGGTGCCAGGTGGACGTCTGCAGACGAAGATGCCACGCAGGACCAGCAGGCCGAGGCGCCGCAGCCTGCTGGCGGTGATGTTGAGACTGCTGCCGGGCCACCGCCCCGCGCCTTGCGCGCGCGGCGGCCTCGAGCCACTTGATCGAATTTTCTATGCCTGCTGTTCATCCCCACTTCCTCTCCCTGCGTGCAGGATCACATATGTTCTTGTTCACTTACAAACATGCACAGGGCACCACGCACTATACATCATGTGCACGCCTTGCCATGTTTGATATATACCCCGTTTGCAAACGCATACATACATTTGCCCATACCCACCCGCCCTTTATGTGGGGCGCCTTGCATGCAGGGCGCCCTGCACAGGGCACGATTACGTTACTTGCAAAGGCTGCATGCATACATGCATGTGAACACATCGCACATATATGGAGCCCAAGTCAAGCTTACTTGCACGCACCTTAAGGGGCGGGCATGCACCTTGACACTTGCACGTGTGCACGCGCCGGCCAGTGCGCGCGCGCGACGCCGATTGCGCTGCAGCACAAGCATGTATATGAATCACGCATGCACCGCACACCAGCATATTGAAAGTATTACATGCAATTGACCCGAATACACCAAGGGCATGCACTTTGTAACGCCACTTCCTTATCAACTCCAAACCGGCTCCATTTCACTCCTTAGCCATAGGGATATTAGCAGGGAGGCCTCCTCCTTACAGTCTCCTTGCAGACTCCTTGGCCCGGAGATAAGGAGGACCTTAAGGAGTGTCTAAGGAAATGCCATGTTCTTGCAG